AAATTTTCATTCGTTACTCAAGACACAAAGAAAAGAGAAAACACTCTGAAACCAATCTTCTGCAAAAAAGGAAAAAAAGCACAATAAAATTGAACAAAGAAAATACCCTAAGCATCTGTTCTTCCTCAATTGTCCATGGAACCTTCTTTCTCCTCAACTGTGGAACTGCTATGTGCTGCAGAAAAAGAACATTTTAACACTTAAGATTTCATTTCGAATTAAATCAATTGGATAAATATTTTGTAACAAAAAAAAAAAAAACTCTGCATGTTCCAATGAGGAAAGAAATCATTGGAGAAGCATATTAAGGATGCCAAGTGGATTAAAGTAGCCTAATAAAACACACAAGGAAACAGCAGAAATGTTGTGATAATCTAATGGAAAGTTATTCATGTATGGAAAACTTACCACTTCCTTTGTTGCCTTCTAAATCTTATGGAATAGTTCAATTTAATAACCTCATCATTTTCAGTATCAGAAGTATCCTCTCCATCAAAATTAAGAACAATGGATTGTTGGTCAAGATTAGTTCCATGTTGTTGTAAAACTTCTTGCGGAATGTCCGGAATTCCTGCTTTAGCTTGCATCTGATTTAAATCGGCGGTTTCAGTCTTTTGGCTAGAGGGGTTGTCACTGTTGTAATCAGGGCCATCTGAAAAAGGCTGGGCCAGCTCTCTTTCAGATAGGCTCTCCTTTACCACCACTTCTTTGCTTTCCTTTCCCTAAGTTGGGATGCATAATGTTCAACTGTGAACATTTGTCTCATCTTCCAGACATGGTGTGTTAACATCTCTACATGAAATAGAAGTCGAACTAATAAACTCATCACTTTCAGTATCAGAGGTCACCTCCCCATCACAATCATGAACAATGGGTTGCTGGTCAGGATTAGTTATATGTTGTTGTAGAACTTCTTTCTGAATTCTTTCTTCATCTTCTTTGTGATTTACTACATGGGTAGTTTCAGTGTTTCCTCTGGATGCATTGTCAATGTTGTAGTCAGGGCTGTCTGATAGTTGGGCCCCTTGCTTTTCAGGCTGTCTCTCAGATAGGTTTACCTTTACCACCTTTTCTTTGCCTTCTTTCCGATGGTAGCGATGCTTACTGTCCCACTGCAAACATTGGACTCGTTTTCCATAGATGGTTTGTTGACATCTATACATGATCTGGAAGGCCCTGATTGTTGTTCATTGGCTAGATTTCTTTGAAACTGGAAATCAAAAACTCTATTTTGACTTCTTGTATTTCGTTCTCTCTCTTTCAAATGCCCATTCTCCTGCATTCTGATGCAATTTGCCTCATGCTTCATACTTTGAGTACTGATATCTCTACACAATGTAGAGGACTCTGGTTGTTGTTTATCAGTACACAACTTTGACATTGACGACTTAGATCTTGCCTGTTTTGACTTCTTGTATTTTGTTCTTTTTCCTTCAAATTCCCACTCTCCTGAATTCTGAGTAAATTTGCCTCATCTCCTACACATAGTCTGTTAACATCTCTGAATGACATTGAGGGCCCTGACTGTTGTTTATCAACTAGACCTCTTTGAAACTGACAATTAGC